TAACTCACCAATATGCACAAAAATTACAGGATATATAGTCCAAAGTGACCTCCATCGAATGGTGGTAGTCTCTATTCATGACACTCCTGCGTTTTTGGTACAGCGGCCACATGGATATTCAAATGCCTATCTCGCTAATGTTAACGCTGACTGACTTGGATGGGTATAACTCCAAAAGTACATCTCCGATCTTGTTAAACTTTTAGTGGCACGCTAGCAAGGCCCTGGGGCAGTTTTTGGTCAAGTGCCTACCCATGATGCCTTCTCAAAACTTTTTTACGCGGGTTTCAAAATTTGATTTTTTTTTTGGTGATACGGCCAAAGTCAACAAAAAAGAACTCACCAATATGCACAAAAATTACAGGATATATAGTCCAAAGTGACCTCCATCGAATGGTGGTAGTCTCTATTCATGACACTTCTGCGTTTTTGGTACAGCGGCCACATGGATATTCAAATGCCTATCTCGCTAATGTTAACACTGACTGACTTGGATGGGTATAACTCCAAAAGTACATCTCCGATCTTGCCAAACTTTTAGTGGCACGTTAGCAAGGCCCTGGGGCAGTTTTTGGTCAAGTGCCCACCCATTACGCCTTCTCAAAACTTTTTTACTCGGGTTTCAAAATTTGATTTTTTTTGGTGATACGGCCAAAGTCAACAAAAAAGAACTCACCAATATGCACAAAAATTACGGCATATATAGTCCAAAGTGACCTCCATCGAATGGTGGTAGTCCCTATTCATGACACTTCTGCGTTTTTGGTACAGCGGCCACATTGATATTCAAATGCCTATCTCGCTAATGCTAACGCTGACTGACTTGGATGGGTATAACTCCAAAAGTACATCTCCGATCTTGTTAAACTTTTAGTGGCTCGTTAGCAAGGCCCTGGGGCAGTTTTTGGTCAAGTGCCTACCCATGACGCCTTCTCAATACTTTTGTACGCGGGTTTCAAAATTTGATTTTTTGGTGATACGGCCAAAGTCAACAAAAAAGAACTCACCAATATGCACAAAAATTACGGCATACTTAGTCCAAAGTGACCTCCATCGAATGGTGCTAGTCGCTATTCATGACACTTCTGCGTTTTTGGTACAGCGGCCACATTGATATTCAAATGCCTATCTCGCTAATGTTAACACTGACTGACTTGGATGGGTATAACTCCAAAAGTACATCTCCGATCTTGTTAAACTTTTAGTGGCACGTTAGCAAGGCCCTGGGGCAGTTTTTGGTCAAGTGCCTACCCATGACGCCTTCTCAAATCGTTTTTACGCGGGTTTGACAATTTGATAACTTCGGTGATACGGCCAAAGTCAACAAAAAAGAACTCACCAATATGCACAAAAATTACGGCATACTTAGTCCAAAGTGACCTCCATCGAATGGTGCTAGTCGCTATTCATGACACTTCTGCGTTTTTGGTACAGCGGCCACATTGATATTCAAATGCCTATCTCGCTAATGTTAACGCTGACTGACTTGGACGGGTATAACTCCAAAAGTACACCTCCAATCTTGTTAAACTTTTAGTGGCACGTTAGCAAGGCCCTGGGGCAGTTTTTGGTCAAGTGCCTACCCATGACGCCTTCTCAAAACTTTTGTACGCGGGTTTCAAAATTTGATTTTTTGGTGATATTGAGAAGGCGTCATGGGTAGGCACTTGACCAAAAACTGCCCCAGGGCCTTGCTAACGCGCCACTAAAAGTTAAACAAGATCGGAGATGTGCTTTTGGAGTTATACCCATCCAAGTCAGTCAGCATTAACATTAGCGAGATAGGCATTTGAATATCAATGTGGCCGCTGTACCAAAAACGCAGAAGTGTCATGAATAGGGACTACCACCATTCGATGGAGGTCACTTTGGACTATATATGCCGTAATTTTTGTGCATATTGGTGAGTTCTTTTTTGTTGACTTTGGCCGTATCACCAAAAAAATCAAATTTTCAAACCCGCGTACAAAGGTATTGAGAAGGCGTCATGGGTAGGCACTTAACCAAAAACTGCCCCAGGGCCTTGCTAACGTGACACTAAAAGTTTAACAAGATGGGAGATGAACTTTTGGAGTTATACCCGTCCAAGTCAGTCAGTGTTAACATTAGCGAGATAGGCATTTGAATATCAATGTGGCCGCTGTACCAGAAACGCAGAAGTGTCATGAATAGGGACTACCACCATTCGATGGAGGTCACTTTGGACTATACATGCCGTAATTTTTGTGCATATTGGGAAGTTCTTTTTGTTGACTTTGGCCGTATCACCAAAGATATCAAATTTTCAAACACGCGTACAAAAGTTTTGAGAAGGCGTCATGGGTCGGCACTTGACCAAAGACTGCCCCAGGGCCTTGCTAACGTGCCACTAAAAGTTTAACAAGATCGGAGATGTACTTTTTGAGTTACACCCATCCAAGTCAGTCAGTGTTAACATTAGCGAGATGGGCATTTGAATATCAATGTGGCCGCTGTATCAAACACGCAGAGGTGTCATGAATAGCGACTACCACCATTCGATGGAGGTCACTTTGGACTATATATGCCGTAATTTTTGTGCATATTGGTGAGTTCTTTTTTGTTGACTTTGGTCGTATCACAAAAAAATTAAATTTTCAAACCCGCGTACAAAAGTATTGAGAAGGCGTCATGAGTAGGCACTTGACCAAAAACTGCCTTAGGGCCTTGCTAACGTGCCACTAAAAGTTTAACAAGATCGGAGATGTACTTTTGGGATTATACCCATCCAAGTCAGTCAGCGTTAACATTAGCGAGATGGGCATTTGAATATCAATGTGGCCGCTGTACCAAAAACGCAGAAGTGTCATGAATAGGGACTACCACCATTCGATGGAGGTCACTTTGGACTATATATGCCGTAATTTTTGTGCATATTGGTGAGTTCTTTTTTGTTGACTTTGGCCGTATCACCAAAGATATCAAATTTTCAAACCCGCGTACAAAAGTATTGAGAAAGCGTCATGGGTAGGCACTTGACCAAAAACTGCCCCAGGGCCTTGCTAACGTGCCACTAAAAGTTTAACAAGATCGGAGATGTACTTTTGGAGTTATACCCATCCAAGTCAGTCAGTGTTAACATTAGCGAGATAGGCATTTGAATATCAATGTGGCCGCTGTACCAAAAACGCAGAAGTGTCATGAATAGGGACTACCACCATTCGATGGAGGTCACTTTGGACTATATATGCCGTAATTTTTGTGGATATTGGTGAGTTCTTTTTTGTTGAATTTGGCCGTATCACCAAAAAAATCAAATTTTGAAACCCGCGTACAAAAGTATTGAGAAGGCGTCATGGGTAGGCACTTGACCAAAAACTGCCTTAGGGCCTTGCTAACGTGCCACTAAAAGTTTAACAAGATCGGAGATGTACTTTTGGAGTTATACCCATCCAAGTCAGTCAGCGTTAACATTAGCGAGATAGGCATTTGAATATCAATGTGGCCGCTGTACCAAAAACGCAGAAGTGTCATGAATAGGGACTACCACCATTCGATGGAGGTCACTTTGGACTATATATCCTGTAACTTGTGTGCATATTGGTGAGTTCTTTTTTGTTGACTTTGGCCGTATGACCAAAAATATCAAATTTTCAAACCCGCGTACAAACGATTTGAGAAAGCGTCATGGTTAGACACTTGACCAAAAACTGCCTGAGGGCCTTGAAAACGTGTCATTAAAAGATGAAAGAGAACGGTGATGTACTTTGGGAGTTATTGGCTTTTAAGTCAGGCAGTGTTAACATTAGCGAGATAGGCATTTGAATATCAATGTGGCCGCTGTACCAAAAACGCAGAAGTGTCATGAATAGAAACTACCACCATTCGATGGAGGTCAATTTGTACTATATATCCTGTAATTTTTGTGCATATTGGTGAGTTCTTTTTTGTTGACTTTGGCCGTATGACCAAAAATATCAAATTTTCAAACCCGCGTACAAACGATTTGAGAAGGCGTCATGGGTAGGCACTTGACCAAAAACTGCCTTAGGGCCTTGCAAACGTGTCATCAAAAGATGAAAGAGAACGGTGATGTACTTTGGGAGTTATTGGCCTTTAAGTGATGCAGTGTTAACATTAGCGAGATAGGCATTTGAATATCAATGTGGCCGCTGTACCAAAAACGCAGAAGTGTCATGAATAGAAACTACCACCATTCGATAGAGGTCACTTTGTACTATATATCCTGTAATTTTTGTGCATATTGGTGAGTTCTTTTTTGTTGACTTTTGCCGTATGACCAAAAATATCAAATTTTCAAACCCGCGTACAAACGATTTGAGAAGGCGTCATGGGTAGGCACTTTACCAAAAACTGCCCCAGGGCCTTGCAAACGTGTCACCAAAAGATGAAAGAGAACGGTGATGTACTTTGGGAGTTATTGGCCTTTAAGTCAGGCAGTGTTAACATTAGCGAGATAGGCATTTGAAAATAAAAATGGCCCCTGTACCAAAAACGCAGAAGTGTCATGAATAGTGACTACCACCGTTCGATGGAGGCTGCTTTGGACTATATATCCTGTAGTTTTGGTGTATATTGGTGAGTTTTTTTGATGACCTGCCACTATATGACCTTGAATGACCTTCAAAAGGAAAACAGGTATATCTCGTAACCTATTGAGTGTCATGTATTGGGATATATATTTTCAGAATCAGGGCTTTCCTGGCTACACGATGGTAGCCAAAACTTTGCATTTGGTGAGTTTTTTTGAATGTGCATTTGAAAGTGAATGTGAATATCATAGCACTTGATGCACGTGCCCTGACCCGTGATCGGCGGCCGGCTAGTACTCTTGCCGGCGCTCACATACGTGCTGGTTGCCCCGGCAACGAGCTATTGACCAATGAGAAGCGAGGAAAGTGCAACGTCACTGCGATTTTTCATATACCTGTGCCCCCCGTAGCGCGCTTCTCATTGGTCAATAGCCCGTTGCCGGGGCAACGTGCACGTATGTGTGCGCGGGCTAGCGCGCTAGCCGGCCGCCGAACAGCGCTCTGGTGAGGCTAGGGGTTTGTGTCTCGGGCGTTTATATTCTATTTACCACTTAACATGAGAACATGGTGCATGTAACACAAATATTACCAGTATTTTTAGGATACCTCGCACTTCAGGTAAGTTTCCCTTTGTTGCTACTTGTGTTGTTTTTGCTCAGCTAATGCGTCAGCAGTCAGCACGCCAATGGATGGATGACGTGTCAGTGTCCTTTGAATTTATACTGATACTAGAATCTGTCGTTTAATGAGTTATGTTTTTTGACATTGGTTTCAGAAAGTCGGCAGTGGAAAAGTATGGTATGGGGTTTCAGTTTGAAGTTGCAGGGTCCCCTGGAGGTTTCAGGCTGTTGCACTCCTGATGTTACGTCGGTAGGTACGGCTCTCGCGAGATTAAGCGGTAGGTTTTGCACTTTAACATTTCCAGTTATATCTCAGAAACTAATCAATCTGCGACCAGACTGGAAAACATCCACACAGTACGGCGGATGCCCGTGAGACCTGCTTGCGCCGGAATTCGGCACAAGTGATTTTGCGCTGAAATTTCTGTATGATTTGTGCAGAAAATTGGGTGCCAGTTTGTACCAAAATTAAGCCACGTTCATATAAAGCACATGTGCACATCTACCGATCAAAGCTATATCAACCAGACAGAGTGTTCCGCGGCCTTGGATGCTCTCCCATGTTTGAGCATCCAAAAAGTTTCTTTATTTCCACGGAAACCCAAGGGAAACCCAATACCTCAATACCCTTAGCGCACTGCAGCGTCGTGCAGTGAAACAAGGCCTGAGCAGAAGTTCCGGGCCTACAAATATCGGCGGAGCCGTGTGTTCGAGGCTAGCAGGAGCCAGCGAGGGCCGGGCAGCGGAGCAGCACGTGCTCCGGCACATCAGCCTCTTCTCGGCGCCGCAGAGCGCCGCGGGGCACCGCCTGTCTGGGCACTGCTGGCACGCCGCGGAGTGGAGACTGCCGTTTCGGTGCACGTACTGGAGCGAGCGGCCCCAGTGGCCCGCCGTCATCCGATCCACAGAGACGGCGCCCTCTCGGTCCTCTTCGGGGATAGGGAGCGGCGGCACGCTTCCGAAGAGTGACTCGGACCAGTTGTCGCGCCATCGATGCGAGGCCAAACAATGGACCGTCCTGGTCAGCGAGCGGGCGTTTGAGGGCAGGGGCCAGACTTGTTTGGCCAGGTTATCCGTGCTCTCATTCCCCTCGATACTCTATAAAGTATAAACCCTGCTCGATACCGCAGTGGGCAGGAATCCACTGCAGTATTACTTAACGACGCTCGGTGGCGTTCAACAAGATCTTCCATACCTATCTCCACGCCGAGGGTTGAAGCGTCACCTGGGCGGCCACTCCTCCGCTGAGAAGACTCAGGGCGGCTCGCCAGTTCGAGCACGCGACGACCGGGGCGGGGACGTCCCGTCCCGGAACCTCTCCAAAGCCGCCTGCAGGGCGAATCTGCTGCTAGATTGACCAGCGTGCCGGCTAAATACGGTGACCGTCTCTCGCCAAAAAAAATCTGCGGCCGCCCTGCGCCGAAAAATTAGGCCCCTCCCATGCGCTGAATTCAGCGCATGCGAAATTACGCCGGACTAGCGCCAAAATTTTCGGCGCAATCCCGCCACTACGCCGGACTTATTCGGCATAACGTGTATTTTTTTTCCAGTCTGGATCTACGATGAAGCCATTTTACACGAGCATGGCCGGCTTGTGAACCAACAAGTCGATCGCATCTTCAACACTTATAAGCTTAAGACGACGAAGATATAGCCTGAAGTACACTAAATTTTCTAGGTGCAAAACCTACCGCTAAAACCCGCGAGACCTGTACAGCGCACCGCAGAAGTACCCAATGTGCGGTTTCAGCCTTATCTGTAAGAATCTTGGTTTCAGCCATGTTCATGCTTTGCTTCTGTATCTTAGGAGCGATTTGCCAGACTACAATAAATTTTGGAATGTATCTTACATAATACATGCATTATCTTTCTTGCAGCTGCATATTTATCTTTTCTATCAACTCCTGGATCACTTTTTATTAACCCGCGCCCCGTTGGGGTCTGCCGAGCAATGCGCCCTTTGGGGGGGGGGGGGAGGGGGCAATTTGGCCCTCCCCCTAAGATCTCGAGAACCACGCAACATAGCGACAAGCGGCAAATGGCGTTGGATAGCCCCAACAGGGAACTACCTTGTGACCAAATTTTTATTGACCTAGGTCAAACCGATGACGTCACAGGTCGGGTCAAAGGTCGAATTTTCACCGTTTACAGGCATTTCAAGAAATGCGTTGTAAAATCGAGTAAATGCATTTCATTGAAAATCATCGATGGGGTATTGTTCGTCAAACACATATTTTGTTATTTGAGGTCACTGATACCAGGTCAGGTCACAGAGGTCAGGTCACTGAGGGTCACAATATGAAAATATCATGTGGTACATGTTTTATGGTCCATTTTATGTCAAATGCGATTATGTGGGACAGGCAGCCCTTGGGGTCAGTTTAGATTATGTTCTGGTGAAGGTCAGGTCAAATTAGGTCAAATTTCAAAAGTTGATATTTTTGCATAAAATGGGTATCGATTCGATGCAGCTCGTCACGGGGAGTTCAATGGTGGTCTTTGTTTTGCCCTACGTGGTCTAGAATCGCTAAAAATTGAGTTAAAAAATTGACGTCATCATTATTGAACAGTTTTTTTTTTCGCTATAACTTGGCCAAAAAACGAGATATCGATCAGAAATTTGGTATGTACATAGAAGAGCGTAGGGACTATCACATATATTCCGGATTATTCCAAATTCGATTTTTTTATTTTTTGAGTAAAAAATCATTTATTTTTAATTTTTGGGGGTCAAAAACCCAAAATTTTGAAAATCCGAGACAGCAGTTTTGTAGCGCCGCTTTTTGTCTACTAGACCACATAAAGAACTTTGCTTGGTAACTGTAGATTTGGTGAGCGTTTCAAGATTGCATGTTTTTGCTCATTTTTGGTCGAACATGACCTCAGTTCGACCTCAATTACTCCTGACCTAAGGTGACCTAAGACTTGAAATTTGGTGTGAAGGTGTCAAATTGATGCCCGGAAAGGTACTGAAAATTTGGCGGTGCTGCGCGCCGCCGTTTTCTTGCTATTCAGGAAAAACCACAGGGGGGGGGGCAAATTGCCCCCCCCCCCCAACGGGGCGAGGGTTAAGACTGGTAAAACCTCACATTACTTCAGCAGCGTGCTGTATCTGCTGGCCTGTGGCAGTTGGCACCCACTACAACACCGGCTGAGGGTGTTGCAGAATACTGCTGCCTGGTTGTTTGGGCAGATTCTGCTTCAGTCAGTTCATGTGACATGCTGGGGTGAGGCTGAGGGGTGTGAGAAATTACAGCAGTTTTAGTGGGGAATGCTGCTCGGCTCCAAGTCAGCTTGTGCTGCAAACATAGGTGGAGCTTTTCCAGGGAAGTTGGTGGGGCAAAAAGTCGTCAAACCCACAATGTCCGATTATAAAGTTGAATAAAATGCCACCCACACTGAATCAATTCCTATCATTACAGACATATTATTTTGCATTAAACAGACATTTCAAAGCTCTTCAATGCGAAAAAGATTAATTTGCAAAGCAGCAAAGTCTTAGAAATCAGCTGAAGTTGGTGGGGCAAAACGCTTATTGGTGGGGCAAAATATCAAGTTGGTGGGGCAGCCGCCCCACCAACTGCATAGAAAGCTCCGCCCCTGGCTGCAAAGTGCGAAACCATGGACTCAGTCTGCATTCTTCAGTAGAGGTGGCTGAGTCATTGGTCTGGGAGGTAGGTAAACTAGATGTAAGTTGGATTGAGATAATGCAGTAGCACTGCAGCATGCAGAGTTGCAGCAGAGAAGGGAATGCACTTCTTGTAAGCATTGACTACCACCTTGCCTTGATGTTATAGGCCAGCCTCATCGACTGTTGACACCCTCCATGTCTCGTGTCATGTAATTGCAGACACTGGCACTTGTTTTGACATGAGTGCTGCTCCACGTGGAGACACCGTCAGTCACCTGGTGGACTGTTGGGTGAATGCTGGGCAGCTGCAGCCGGCTGCGCCCTGGCAGTGTTACTGCACATGGCAGTGTTCTGTTCATGGAAGTGTTACTGGCAGTGTTCTGAGGGTGCTGGTCAATGCTGCGATGGAACCTCAGACTGGTTAACCACCGCAACAAGCCACCACTTTTGAGTGTGGGTGAATCGTTCCACCGTTCCGCTCTGTCGGAGCAGAAGAATGACGACGAACGGGCTATCCAGCTATCGCTATCGTGTCTGCCTCGGCTACGACTGACGGGAACTCGCAATTACTGAACTGCGTCCCGTTGTCCGTAGCGAGTTCGTCCGGATAAGGCTCACGAGACAACACCCTTGCCAGGATCCGGATGATGTCGACGTCGTCGCAGAAGGGTCGGTGGAGCTTGCACACACTTGCTGTGGTAATTATGAGCAGGAGTGCGGAGCCGTGGGAATTTCAGACGGCTCCGGCTCCGGCTCCGGAGAAAAAAATCGCGCGCTCCGGGTGAAATGCCATGGCGGCTCGGGATCCGAGCAAAATGGTCCGGCTCCGGCGGCTCCTGCTCCGGCTTCGGCTCCAATACTCAATACACCCCCTATGGCCTATGCAATTAATTAACGGGTGGAAGAAAAAAGACGATGGGATTGGCGCACGTTGCTTCTGTATTTGCATAACAAGGCTATTTTCATATTTTGATTACCGCATGTTTTACTGCCTTGAACTGTCAAACCGAACTAGGTCAATATATTTTATTTTCATCAAAAAAGGAGCCAGAGTTTTTGACGGCTCCGGCTTCGGCTCTAGCTCCGGCTCCGGCTCCGCACCCCTGGTTGTGAGTGACCGTCGCCGCAAAACTAGCGGCTGGTGGTCCGCCCGGGTAGGTCCCAGGACTTCCGGCCCAATTTAGACCGAGGCCGGCCTTGACACACTGCTCGGACTCTGAGCGTGCCGGGACGTCAGCTTGTTCACTCCTCGCATGTTGACACCTGACACCGTTTTTGGAGTACATTGGGCGGGGCTGCTTACCCTGCCGCCCCAACGTTGGCCAAACGATATTTCCAAGTCGCCGTCGCCTTTGAAGTCTGATGATCAGACCGGCTTCGCCAAGATAAAGTGATGAGGGTGTGCAGTGTGCACCTTGTAGTGAGACATTTTGACACGCTGGAAAAAGTTACACTTCTTGGAAAACTCGAGTACGACTGGTCGCCAAATATGTATATCGTTTAGATTCGTAGTTCATGGCGATGATGTTTGCGTAGTGCGTAATTCGTATCGCTGCGTCACGGTAGCGCCCCAACCCGACGACCTGTGTACCGTCGTCAGGGTGATCTAGTGCCGATTTGCGATTTCAGGGTCACGATATCCAGTTACCGCTAGCCAGCTCTGCACAGCGCTTCGAGTCTAGAGAAACAATACATTGATTTTACGTAAAAAAGAATGGAGCGGTTGATTCTCGACGAAAAATGCTGCATAACTGACCGTATTTTCACTGTTCACAGGTTACGGAGGTCCTTGCTGAACTAACATCAGAACAATGCATAGACTTGGGCTTCAACAAAGCCAATCTTCTCTGCTCCTATTGCAAGGAGTTGCAAGATTTCAGCTTAACAGCCTTGAGGTGAGTAACTATTAGAATTTAGAGAAGTAAACTTTGTGTTTTCCCCGTTGTAAGAATTTCAAATTGCCATCGTTGTAACTTGCTTGACAGCATCGCACTTACTGCTACTGTTCAGCCTCTTCGCTGTTTCTTTCACATGTGACTTAAGCTAAAGCTACTGAGTTGATCTACTGACTTACTGAGTACTGATCCACTCTTCTGAATTGTTTGTATGGCGTTTCCTCAGTCAATGTCCAGGCCCCGGCTATCTCACGCTGACTGTGTCACCACTCTGCCGCAGAGATAACTGCTCCAAGTGCTGCACAGCCGACAGCGGCACCCCCGAGATCCGGCGCTACCCGCGCGCGCTGCTCGAGGTCTGCGGATGACGACTGGGGGCCTTCCCGCAGGTCCAGGGTACGTGGTGCCAACGGAATGGGGGCTCGGCGACCCCGTCAACTAGGCTTGGTTCGATGTCGTACGGTGCCATTTCTGAATCCTGAGTAGGCACACGAAGAACTTGTTCACTACGAGCGCTTAATTGCTAGCTTAGGTCACATATTTTGGACTTGTGTGCTTGAGTTTCACGCCTCGATTGTTGAATGCCCTCACTCAACCCGTACTGGCTGACTGAGACCCGTGGCGTGTTCGCAGCGTTCGTTAAGAGCGACCGACCTGCGCGGTACCCGGGTCTGCGGGTGAAGTACGTGCGCGGCGCCGACCCCGTCATCAAGCTGATGGACGAGGAGGAGCGCGTGCAGGAGGTCAGTGACATTCTGATGGGGAGGGCAGGATCGGGAGACGGCTGGGAACAAGGCTAGCAGAGGATGGACGAAGAGAGATGGACGGAGGTTCGGGAATGGTTATGCTCTCGTTACAGTGTGTCGAGGCTAGATGCGTTTGTTGTGTGCGATGGATCTCGTGGTAGGTCGGAGGTACCGAACACTCTGTAGTATCTCATTCGGATCATGGCCATAAATCTTAGTATGCCATGAAGCCTCAATAAACAAACAAGCATCGCTGGTTCAGACATTGTTCGCATGGGAGTGCCCTGTTAAAATATGATTGATGTTTTTTAACACGTCCTCAAATCTGTAGGCACATATCGTCCATTTTTAGCCTGTCAACTGTGAAGAGGCCGTACGTGACGTAGAAATAGTGTGATAAACCTGCCTGTGGTGACGTGTTATTATGACGTTTATGTTGCGACTGTTTCAGACTCTTGCGATTGACAAGTGGAACACCGACTCTGTCGAGGAGTTCCTTGGTCTCTATCTGGAGTCGGCAGCCGAGGCCGACGAGCTTGACGACAACAGCATCTCGAAGGAGGAGCTGTAGAGGGCCTACGGCGTCCTGGGGCGTCGCGCGGGCTCCGTGATGTGCCGCTCGGCGGGCGGCGGCTTCCAATGGGGCGGGTCGAGGTGGCGGGACACGCTGTCTTCTCTGGTGCCTCTGCTTCCCAATGTGCCGGGTGTTTTTGCCGAGACGGCGCTCGGACACCACTGCCGGCGGTGAGGCCGCGCTGCGCGGGCGCCGGCTGGGGCGGTGCTGACTGGTAGTGTGTCTGTCTGACGGGCCCGCTCGTCCGGCCTTCCTGCCGTCCGCGGCGTTCTGCCGACGAGCGGGCGGACGTCGGGCGGTGGGATGCAGGGCCGGTCCGCCGCCGCCGGCGCAGGATGAAGGCCGGGCTGGAAGCGGCACTGCCGTCGGCCTGGCCGGAGGTAGCGCCGGCGGACGGGCGGACCGACCGAGCGTCCCACGCGCACTGGTCACCTTCTCCCGCCGGTCCCGAGCGGTACGGCGTCCCCCGGTCCCATCTGATGTGTGGCCGTGTCACAGGGATAACTGCGGAATGAAACTATTTTTTGATCGGGCTTCTGAAAATATATTGACTGTTAAAAGTGGTTCTGTAAATCGCTAACGCAACGCATAGAACGGCTTTCTCAAGCGTTACCTGACTGCTGCCAAGTTGGAGTTGCGCAACGCAGCCCTACGATTTAGCAACGCAGGCATTGCGTAATGCGTAATGTGACTGGTTGGCTGCGCTGCAGTCAAGACCGTCAAGACTTTAGACTGCAGTCAGCATTCACGCCCGCAATCTGGTGAGGTTGACTCAGAGATCAGAGATCAAGATCGACTCGACGGCGACGCCAAGCACGCGCGTGTAAATGAATTCATCCAACGTCCGTTCGTGTATTGACGTCGAGTACTGTAAGATATTATTAGACATGACGATGTAAATAGGAAAATGCCCACGTCGCCGCCCCCAGAGATGTGCATTACCTTCTCCCGCTGGTCCGCCCACATCTCGCTATTTCCAAAACAAAACCAAACAACACTTTCAAGGACTTGTTTTTATTGTTTTTGCACTTATTCCTCTTAAAAATATAATATATGACGTCATGAACCTCTTGGATCAGTTCTAGCGTTTGCACATCGTTTATACCAGAGCTCCAATCAACTTTCGAATTGAAATGACGTCATAAGCTCTAAAAGAAACATTTTTGTTAAGTTCGTTAAAAATACAACGCAAAACGAAAACGAGTTGGCAGACAACGAAAGTTTGCGACGAGTGTAGGAGGGGCGGATGGGGATAATGTAACGGAAGTTAGCCCACATTCAGCCCACATTCGGCCCAGCCCAGATTGGGGCTGCCAAATCTAGGAAAAAATCTAGAAATCTAGGGAAAAATCTAAAAACCGTTTTACGCCTAAACGGCTGGACGAAACTGAAAAATAAGACCACCATTTGAAAGATCTCTTCACCCCAGACCTAATGATATGGTTAAATACCGGATCAATTTAACCAAAAGCATGATTTAACCAGGATGAAAATTTTCGGTCAATGGGGCGGCCCCTACGATTTTCTTCAAAATCGGCATGGTGATACTACAGGCCGAGATGATCAATCTGGCTGAAGAAACCCCTATGGGCATTGAAATCTATGGGGTAAAAACGCCCTTGGAAAGTTTTACCCACGCATTTCTGGCAAGTGTATCGCACGCATCCCCCCAATATGGGTATCATATGAAAGCCCATGAAAACCCAAACAAAATGGTGGGGTAAAATTTACCCATTACCCCATCCAGGGTAAAGTTTACCCAAGATTAAAATTTTCGGTCAATGGGGCGGCCCCTACGATTTTCTTCAAAATCGGCATGGTGATACTACAGGCCGAGATGATCAATCTGGCTGAAGAAACCCCTATGGGCATTGAAATATATGGGGTAAAAACGCCCTGGGAAAGTTTTACCCACGCATTTCTGGCAAGTGTATCGCACGCATCCCCCCAATATGGGTAGCATATGAAAGCCCATGAAAACCCAAACAAAATGGTGGGGTAAAATTTACCCACTACCCCATCCAGGGTAAAGTTTACCCAAGATGAAAATTTTCGGTCAATGGGGCGGCCCCTACGATTTTCTTCAAAATCGGCATGGTGATACTACAGGCCGAGATGATCAATCTGGCTAAAGAAAACCCTATGGGCATTGAAATCTATGGGGTAAAAACGCCCTTGGAAAGTTTTACCCACGCATTTCTGGCAAGTGTATCGCACGCATCCCCCCAATATGGGTATCATATGAAAGCCCATGAAAACCCAAACAAAATGGTGGGGTAAAATTTACTCACTACCCCATCCAGGGTAATGTTTACCCAAGATAAAAATTTTCGGTCAATGGGGCGGCCCCTACGATTTTCTTCAAAATCGGCATGGTGATACTACAGGCCGAGATGATCAATCTGGCTGAAGAAACCCCTATGGGCATTGAAATCTATGGGGTAAAAACGCCCTTGGAAAGTTTTACCTACGCATTTCTGGCAAGTGTATCGCACGCATCCCCCAATATGGGTATCATATGAAAGCCCATGAAAACCCAAACAAAATGTTGGGGTAAAATTTACCCACTACCCCATCCAGGGTAAAGTTTACCCAAGATGAAAATTTTCGGTCAATGGGGCGGCCCCTACGATTTTCTTCAAAATCGGCATGGTGATACTACAGGCCGAGATGATCAATCTGGCTGAAGAAACCCCTATGGGCATTGAAATATATGGGGTAAAAACGCCCTTGGAAAGTTTTAATCACGCATTTCTGGCAAGTGTATCGCACGCATCCCCCAATATGGGTATCATATGAAAGCCCATGAAAACCCAAACAAAATGGTGGGGTAAAATTTACCCATTACCCCATCCAGGGTAAAATTTACCCAAGATGAAAATTTTCGGTCAATGGGGCGGCCCCTACGATTTTCTTCAAAATCGGCATGGTGATACTACAGGCCGAGATGATCAATCAGGCTGAAGAAACCCCTATGGGCATTGAAATATATGGGGTAAAAACGCCCTGGGAAAGTTTTACCCACGCATTTCTGGCAAGTGTATCGCACGCATCCCCCCAATATGGGTAGCATATGAAAGCCCATGAAAACCCAAACAAAATGGTGAGGTGAAATTTACCCACTACCCCATCCAGGGTAAAGTTTACCCAAGATGAAAATTTTCGGTCAATGGGGCGGCCCCTACGATTTTCTTCAAAATCGGCATGGTGATACTACAGGCCGAGATAATCAATCTGGCTGAAGAAACCCCTATGGGCATTGAAATCTATGGGGTAAAAACGCCCTTGGAAAGTTTTACCCACGCATTTCTGGCAAGTGTATCGCACGCATACCCCCAATATGGGTATCATATGAAAGCCCATGAAAACCCAAACAAAATGGTGGGGTAAAATTTACCCACTACCCCATCCAGGGTAATGTTTACCCAAGATAAAAATTTTCGGTCAATGGGGCGGCCCCTACGATTTTCTTCAAAATCGGCATGGTGATACTACAGGCCGAGATGATCAATCTGGCTGAAGAAACCCCTATGGGCATTGAAATCTATGGGGTAAAAACGCCCTTGGAAAGTTTTACCCACGCATTTCTGGCAAGTGTATCACACGCATCCCCCCAATATGGGTATCATATGAAAGCCCATGAAAACCCAAACAAAATGGTGGGGTAAAATTTACCCACTACCCCATCCAGGGTAAAGTTTACCCAAGATGAAAATTTTCGGTCAATGGGGCGGCCCCTACGATTTTCTTCAAAATCGGCATGGTGATACTACAGGCCGAGATGATCAATCTGGCTGAAGAAACCCCTATGGGCATTGAAATATATGGGGTAAAAACGCCCTTGGAAAGTTTTACCCACGCAATTCTGGCAAGTGTATCGCACGCATCCCCCCAATATGGGTATCATATGAAAGCCCATGAAAACCCAAACAAAATGGTGGGGTAAAATTTACCCACTACCCCATCCAGGGTAATGTTTACCCAAGATAAAAATTTTCGGTCAATGGGGCGGCCCCTACGATTTTCTTCAAAATCGGCATGGTGATACTACAGGCCGAGATGATCAATCTGGCTGAAGAAACCCCTATGGGCATTGAAATCTATGGGGTAAAAACGCCCTTGGAAAGTTTTACCCACACATTTCTGGCAAGTGTATCGCACGCATCCCCCCAATATGGGTATCATATGAAAGCCCATGAAAACCCAAACAAAATGGTGGGGTAAAATTTACCCATTACCCCATCCAGGGTAAAGTTTACCCAAGATTAAAATTTTCGGTCAATGGGGCGGCCCCTACGATTTTCTTCAAAATCGGCATGGTGATACTACAGGCCGAGATGATCAATCTGGCTGAAGAAACCCCTATGGGCATTGAAATATATGGGGAAAAAACGCCCTGGGAAAGTTTTACCCACGCATTTCTGGCAAGTGTATCGCACGCATCCCCCCAATATGGGTAGCATATGAAAGCCCATGAAAACCCAAACAAAATGGTGGGGTAAAATTTACCCACTACCCCATCTAGGGTAAAGTTTACCCAAGATGAAAATTTTCGGTCAATGGGGCGGCCCCTACGATTTTCTTCAAAATCGGCATGGTGATACTACAGGCCGAGATGATCAATCTGGCTAAAGAAAACCCTATGGGCATTGAAATCTATGGGGTAAAAACGCCCTTGGAAAGTTTTACCCACGCATTTCTGGCAAGTGTATCGCACGCATCCCCCCAATATGGGTATCATATGAAAGCCCATGAAAACCCAAACAAAATGGTGGGGTAAAATTTACCCACTACCCCATCCAGGGTAATGTTTACCCAAGATAAAAATTTTCGGTCAATGGGGCGGCCCCTACGATTTTCTTCAAAATCGGCATGGTGATACTACAGGCCGAGATGATCAATCTGGCTGAAGAAACCCCTATGGGCATTGAAATCTATGGGGTAAAAACGCCCTTGGAAAGTTTTACCTACGCATTTCTGGCAAGTGTATCGCACGCATCCCCCAATATGGGTATCATATGAAAGCCCATGAAAACCCAAACAAAATGTTGGGGTAAAATTTACCCACTACCCCATCCAGGGTAAAGTTTACCCAAGATGAAAATTTTCGGTCAATGGGGCGGCCCCTACGATTTTCTTCAAAATCGGCATGGTGATACTACAGGCCGAGATGATCAATCTGGCTGAAGAAACCCCTATGGGCATTGAAATATATGGGGTAAAAACGCCCTTGGAAAGTTTTAATCACGCATTTCTGGCAAGTGTATCGCACGCATCCCCCAATATGGGTATCATATGAAAGCCCATGAAAACCCAAACAAAATGGTGGGGTAAAATTTACCCATTACCCCATCCAGGGTAAAATTTACCCAAGATGAAAATTTTCGGTCAATGGGGCGGCCCCTACGATTTTCTTCAAAATCGGCATGGTGATACTACAGGCCGAGATGATCAATCAGGCTGAAGAAACCCCTATGGGCATTGAAATATATGGGGTAAAAACGCCCTGGGAAAGTTTTACCCACGCATTTCTGGCAAGTGTATCGCACGCATCCCCCCA